TATATATATATATGTGATTTTTAATTAATGTTGTTTTGTCAGTATCTAAATTAAACATTGAACTAATAATAAACACTTTATTATTGCCTACATACATTATAAATTTAGAATACTCAACCACTTATTTTTTTTTCCATTTTTTTATATTTTTTATTGACTATTTTTTCTTGTCAATTTGTAACAAGTTCCACATTGGGGAGGTCTCCTTACCAGGGAGGCCTTATAAGGCGGGAGGTTCTCCAACCTGGCCGACTTTTGAGGGATGCATGGTTCCCCTCCTTAACCTTATGCTCGTTACAATGGCTCTTTCATTGAGAGCTAGCCAACTCGAGAAGGGCTACCCATGGAGGGTTCTGACCGGCAAAGGCCGAGTGAAGTACTGTGAAGTGCGTCCATCGAGGACGTTGACTTTCGAAGGGGGTGGTAATGTAACAAGTCCCACATCGGGGAGGTCTCCTTACCAGGGAGGCCTTATAAGGCGAGAGGTTCTCCAACCTCTTGGAACCGGCTTTTGAGGGATGGTTCCCCTCCTTAGCCTTATGCTCGTTACACAATTCAACTAATGTTTTCAAATATATGTTTTCTGTCCATTTGCATTATTGTTCAGTAATAATATATTTGATCTTTTCCTGTGTTTGCGTGATTTTTTCCCACTAATTTTCTTGCCCATTTTGCATAGTTTTTTCAACTCATTTAATGATGCCCCTCCCAATACATCTAATTTTTTAGTTTTTAAGTGCAAATATCTGTATCATGTATATAACTTCTTAAAAAAATATAACATTATTTATGTATTTTTTTTAATTACTAATGTAAGTATTAACAATCGAATAAAACTTGATAAGTTACTTAATTTTAACTCTGAAATTATATCTTAAATATGATTTAAAAAATATATCAACTTTAAGAAACAATATCAAAGAATGGGTTTATAAATTATTATTTTCAAAATTGGAGAACAATGAAATTTTCGTAAAAAAGACAAAATATTGTATGTAATTCAGAAATTAAGGATAAACATATATATGATTAGTAGAATATGAATTAACTTTTAAATATATATTTTTCTTTCATTTTAACTAATAACGTTATTTTAAAGGAGGTAAGTGGTTTTAAAAAATTAAAGAAAAAGTTTGTGTCCTTTAAACAAATTTCAAAGGAGATGAGTATAATTTTTCCTTGTTCTACTCATTTATTGTCCTTTTTCTTATAATATTTTCTTGTTCATTTAAATATTTCTCATAACGTATATTTTTGAGTGAATTTAACAAGTATTTTAAGAAGATTAATTTAAAAAAAGATGTAAATATAGAAATTAAAGTGGTGGGTGATTTACTTAAAAAAATAATAAATGAAAAAGACACGTTGTTGTTATATTTTGGAGTCTAATCCAATAGGTAAAAGGAGGTGTGTTGAAATTGAAAAAATAATAAATGGGAGCTGTGGAACAAGTAGCGGGATATATTCGCTTCCCTCTGTTTCCTCCCACTTTCCTTCTTCAACTTGTGCTCCTTTCCCTCTCCCATCTCCCTTCTCCCTTCTATAAATCTTTCTCTCACTTCATTTACTACAAACTCTCACCCTTTCAACTTGCTCAACACTTTCTTCATCTCGCTTTGCTTCATATAAATCTACAATTTGGCTTTCCCTTCCAACAACAAATTGCTTATCACCCTCAAACTGCTGCTTCAATTGCCACTCATGGATTGTTCATCATGGATTAACACTTCATTGGATCTCAACATTAATCCCCACAGGCTTCATGAAGATGTTCCCGTAAGTGTATAAATCATGTTGTTTGGAAGATCCTCTGGGAATTGTTTCCCTCAGAATAATGTTTTATATGGGAAATAATTCTTTCTTGTGTGTTCATTTCAGAAAAAGGAGGTGGAAAACAATTTTTTCTCATTGGGGATGAACAAGTCTTCTCTGAAAGAAGAGGTTAGTTCTGCCAATTCTTCTCTCTCCGTAATTCTTTTCTTGTCAACAATCTAAACTGATTTACGCGATGTATAGTTCAGTCAGAGTTGAAAACATTTATTTTATACATCCAAAATTGACCCTTTTGGTTCAGGGATATTGCTGCCTGTGGCACTATTTGGTTGAATGATTCTCTTGTAAACAAGTTCATTATGGATGCTAGATATAAGCCCATCTTTTTTCCTTATTAAAAGCTGCATAAATGATCATATATGTGCTGTCATTTCAGGCCTCTGGTGCCTTAGTGGAGGAGCTGAAGCGGGTGACTGCAGAAAACAAGAAGTTGACCGAAATGCTCACGGAGATGTGTGAGAACTACAACGCTTTGCGAAGCAATTTGATGGAATATATGAGGAAGAATCCTGAGAAGGAGCTCAGTTCATCCAAGAAAAGGAAATCTGAAAGCAGCAACAACAACAATAGTATTCCAATGGTAGTCAATGGAAACTCTGAAAGCAGCTCAACTGATGAAGAATCATGCAAGAAACCAAAGGAAGAAATCAAGACAAAAGTTTCAAGAGTTTCTGTGAGGACCGAAGCATCTGATACAAGCCTTGTAAGATTCTTATCAGCTACAATGCATGTAAACTCATTAAGTCGTAACTCATAACCATGGTTGAATATAGCTTGACAAGCTTTCCATTTTTTGATGTTTCCAGATTGTGAAAGATGGGTATCAATGGAGGAAATATGGACAAAAGGTGACCAGGGATAACCCTTCTCCAAGAGCATACTTCAAGTGCTCTTTTGCTCCAAGCTGCCCGGTAAAAAAGAAGGTAAATCTAGAGCTAATTAGGGACTAAGCATTCAAACTCAATTAAGGAACTGGATCTCAAGCTAAAATGTGTTTGTTATTCAATATTCAGGTTCAAAGAAGTGTGGATGATCAATCTGTTCTGGTTGCAACTTATGAAGGAGAGCACAATCATCCCCACCCTTCTCAAATGGAGGTAACAACAAGTTCCAACCGTTGTGTGACCCTAGGTTCAGTACCCTGTTCAGCTTCTCTTAGCTCTTCTGCACCAACAGTTACCCTAGACTGGACAAAATCCAAGTCAAGCACCAAAAGCGAGTCTAAGAATATAATTCCCAAAATCGATTCACCAGAAGTACCGCAGGTTTTGGTAGAACAGATGGCTACCTCCTTGACCAAGGATCCTAATTTCAGAGCAGCACTAGTTGCAGCCATCTCTGGAAAAATGTTGCACAATAATTAGGTAGAAAACGAGTGAACTGTATTTAACTGAGTGATCAGTATTTTCTATAAGTGGATCATGTTTAGAGTATAGGATCTCTATGTAAATACAACATAGGACATTAGACATATTCCTCAATTTGATCAATCCTTTTAGTGGGAATCGAGCTCCACTCAGGATAGCAAGTCTAGCTGATAATGCATTTGCTAATCAAGCTCAGCTCAGTCTTCTCTATTCTTCGACATCAAAGTAAACTAGGATAGTTCGAATCAGGTTTCCAATTTAGTTCTTGCGGAATTTCTATTATTCTATAGCATACAAAGGCAAAGAAAAGCTTTGTTTCGGAAAGTGCGACTCTGTTGACAATACATTATCTCCTTTTCATTTTCCAACTCTATTCGGAATGCTGCTGATTCTTTTTTGTATCTTAAAAGATTAATAATAGCGGTGCAACGCAACGATCACAAGTTCTCAAGATGTTTAATACATTGTATAGATTCAGTTGTCTGAGATTTTTCACTGCACAAACTATATTCTATATCAATCTTTGAGTATTGTAAGCGACAGAAAATATCTATAAATCAAACTGGAGGGAAAAAATGACCTGTTATCTATACGATGATGTGAGCTTTCACTTCTACGATATTTCGGGTAGTCGATCCAAATATAGTTAGTTTGAATGTCATAGGATGGATTTTTTTTAATTAAACCAATTTTTACTAATAATATACGGCATTTATAAATTTTATAAAACAAGTTGAAGAAGTATTTAACACAACCACTCTGAATCCAATTTCAGAATATATGCATGTCAGACTGTTGAAGAAGATTGTTTATTGATAACTAGATCAATCTTCTTGGCTGACAAACTAAATATAATAATTTCTCACAACACCTAAGTTGTGTTGAGCAAAGTTTTAAAAAAAACTCCAATAGAAAATATGGAATAATGGAAGCGTTCTTTAAGTTAATTGTGTGACTGATTAGTGAATTGTGAATGATATATAGCAGAAGTAATGTTGGTCTTTCAAGCTCCACCCAACTTAGCTATTCATCTTTCATCCAGAGTGCCATTTAATATTGAACAAAATAGTCCCGGGATTTTAGTACTTTTACACCCTCTTGGACTATGTTGGAGGTTACTCCTGGACTAATTGCATTTCACCCAACATATTCAAGTCCAAAGCCTAAATTTCATAAACCAAACTCTTTGGGAGTTTACTCCTAGACTCTATTGGAGGTTACTCCTAGTCTTGTTGCATTTTATCCAACATTTCCAGGTCCAAACGCTACTTTCATAAACCAAACTGGTCAGAATGCCTAGAACTAGCTCCTAACTGCAATATTTCAACTCTGGAATTCCTAAAAGTAGGTAGCTGGTAGAAAGTATAAAGCACCACAATCCTGAGGCGTTCAACCAACACTGCAAATGAATCAAGCCTGATTTCCTTAGATGAGAACCGACAAGGTAGGTACATAGCAGCTATAGTTGTACTTAGTTGACCGCAAGATACGATTGAGGATTCTTAATGACCCAAAGATTAGAAAAACAGAGTGGCAGGGGGAATAAAATACCTCTAGAGTCTAGACTAGTGTAAAAGGAAGCTGTTCACGACCCCATCAAGAAAGAAGAAAGTAGGTGAGGTGACAAATGCGGACCGACTCACTCTGGCCATTTCAATATGCTCAATACACAAGAACTTGAAGAACTGCCAAAGATAAATTTGCTTTTGATTTGTAGATTCCACTCCCCAACCCACCCGTTGACAAAGACCTAGTAGGCTAGGAGAAACTCAATGACCCACTCACAGCTGAGGGAGCTATTTGATTCTGCATCTAAAGCAACTCATGAATGTATAAATGAGTGTTGGTCTCACACCATATTCCTGAAACCTTTGCCTTAGCACATTTCACATGCACCTGCTGTGCGTGGATATGGGAACTGGTTGTGTAGCAATAGCATCATGGTTCACAATGTTCCAACTTCCAAATAAATGTGTCAAAGAACCGAAAAATTGCATGTTAGAGAGATAAACTCACAAAGAAATCGATTTGATTTTGTCAACTACCTTTACATTTAATATTCATCCGTGGGTCTGAGGAAGCAGGTTTGGTTCATTTTTCACACTAGTAGGTAGCGGAGAAGTTTGAAAAGAACAAGTAATTGTTTAAGGCTGCCCTGCCCCTCACTCACCTCATTGCTTTTTGTACAAATGATTAGAAAAATGAGATACATTTTTTTTATTATTATTTTGGAAATATTAACAAAATGGGACATTTAGGTAAACTCTGATGGCAATGAGCTGAGCAATTAATCCAGAGCTGAGTTCCAAGTTCCACTTTCACATAAAACCTTCACCTTCAGCTTGGATTCTTCGACCCTGTTTCAGCCTTTCAGGTTCCCGTCCAACGACATCAACATTGACATTCATGGATCCAACTCATACGGATATGTCAATTCTGTATTTAGAATTCAGAAAAAAAACCCTTCACATAACCACACTTTTCCCCCGCTGCATTGCTCCGAACACCGAGTTGAATTTAAGATAACTATGTTTTTAAAATCTCAAACCAACGCGCGCGCATATATATATATATAAACGAAGAGAGTTATAATAATTTATTTAAGTATAATTTTTATTAAGTATTATATTGCTTAATAATTTTATATTAAATGTAAATTTTATAAAAAGTTTTTTATTTTTAGTTCATATATATAAAATTTTATATTAATTTAAAATAATTTGATATTTTATTTTTATAAGAAAAAATTGATATAATATATACATTTTAAAATATATTAAAATATGAATACTTTGATTACATTCAATTTATTGTTCAATTTTAACAAAATTTGATATAAATATATAAAGTTATATGAACTTTCAATCTAACAGTTGAATTTACAAAATTCATATTTAATATAAAGTTATTAAGTGGTATAATACTTAGTAAAAGTTATACTGGTGTTATTATAAATTTTCTTTATATATATAACAATAATTTAATTTCTATCTTGCAAATAATATTTTAAGTAATTCTTTATCTTCATATTTAATTTGATTTTTATTTAATATAAATGTAATGACTCATCACATCAATATACTTAAAGGTTCAACAATTAATAGTGAAAAAATAAAACAAGACTACCTAAGATTCACATACTTATAATACTTGGATATACATGTCATAAAATATACACATACAAATAAAAGTGTATATATATATATATAGTAATCCTATAATCAGGTAAAAAAGAAAATCCTAGTTGTCAATTAAGCAACATTGCTACCATCTAGCTACACCAAGGTAGCTCTAAAGATCCGCACCGTCATCACCCTGCATGGCATCAAAACAAATTCCAATTGTAACTTATTCTTATTCTGCTCCCATATTAAATATGATAATTATAGTCTAATCACATGAAAACATGCAGGAGTAAGCTAATATTAAAAAATATTCAACAATAATCTCCTATAAACAACTACACTACTCATATAAACAACTGAACTAATCTCTATTCATCATCCACTTGCAACTTCTCAACATACAACACTACCATATGTACAACACATCAATTTACTTAAGCAACACACCATAATATATGCACAACATCAATCATCAACTCAACAACATACAACTACATGCGTCACTATAGATTCAACTACACAGATTTCGTATAACACAGGTGAACAATATAAATAGCTTGACCCTACCAAACCAACAACTTGATCTTTTCGATCCAGTTAGATCAACAATAAATTTGGATAAAAATCCACAACATGGTTTCTCAGATGTTGTTACTCAAACTATGAAGTCTATTATTCTTGCTAGGATAAAACAACTTGAGTATGAATCTATCATAAGATTAACCAGCATAAGTAAGTCACCTATGGGATTAATCAATCGACTACTCTCCAAATATTATATTTTTCCAATACTTAGTTTGAGATCTTAACTCTTGACATCACACCTTACTCTAATTTTGGTCGCTTTATACACGTATGCCTTGACATTACTCACGTATGGATTAACAATGGTCGCTTGTATTTGATATGACTCAACCTGACCCACATACCATATCAACTAAAGTTTTAGAGGGGACTCAATTACCCACTTCAAGGGTCAACTTCCTAAGAAAGATTTTCATAAAATTGGGCTATCGAAACATCACAACACAATATCCTCATAAGATATGCAACTTAAAAAAACCTCTCCTTTAGTCCTAAATCAATTAATAGCTTTCAACATCATGCCTTAAGCATTCTCAACATAGTTACTCAACTGAATAACATACAACTCAACTCAATGTTCAACCATTAAATAATCTATATACAATATCCTAAATCAATGTATAAAGATTCAACATCATACATCAACATGCAACATATAATAGATTCAACTAATCTATTCATATTCACCACCTAAGCATTCAAATAACAAGTGTCCACAAGGAATTCCATGTCTGACGTTATTCACCTAGTGTTTAGTGCCATTGAGACAGAGTTTTCTACCTCGCTCACGCTTGACGCCATTCAACTTGCGCTTAACATGGTTGAGGTGGGGAGCCCCAAGACACTCATGCTTGATGTGAAAAAGTCCATGCTCAACCTCATTTCAGATAGAGAGTATCTGCCTAACTCATGTATGACTTCACTCTATTGGCACCTAGCGTTAAGTTAGACAGAGATGATTCCCTTTCCTCACACCTAATGTAATTCAACTTAATGTTTAACATGACCAAGTGAGAGACAATTCTCCCTACTTATTTTTGACACTACTAATCTTACGTCTGACACGAGTAAGATAGACTAATTTAAGCTATGCCCAACACCATGAAGGCGCGTCTGACATGACGGTGAATTCTGCACATAATAGATTCATGTATTTGCTCAATCTGTGCCTAAAACCTAGAAAATCCAATATGCAACTCAAGAAAACATAACTACACAACATCATCAACTCTTTTTCAGCAAGAACTTCAACATGTAACTAACAAAATGATCAAATCAGCAAATTCTCTCATCATGCTTCATAAGAAACAAAAATCCCAACCTCATTTATTCAATCAAAATTCAACCGACATAAGTTTATGGACATAAATCAATATACAACTTAGATAATTCAACAAGAGTTAAAAACCTAGCTTCCTTCACCTCAAAATCATATCGAACAAGATGAAGAAGGAAGATAATGAATTTTGAGCTCACTCTCTTGGCAACTCCGCACAACACCTCAGAAGCCTCAGTTCCTAGCTTTTAAAGCTTTGAATCACCAAACCACCACTCAACTCAAATCTTCACACTCTTAGGAAGGCTAGAAAAAGAAGAAAGAAATCTATGAATCAAAGTCATTCTCTATAACTCTTCTTTAAGTTTTATGAAGAAATGAACTTATAAAGTCCACTTCTGAAAAAGGTCTTATATACCTTCCCATATAGGTCACACCTAACATCTACCTAGAGAAACTCCTAATAACAAGTAAAACTCTTAAGGAATTTCACAATTCCTCTCAACATAAAAACATGAAATCAACACAACAATATGTATTTAATAAAATCACAATTATTTTTTTTTAGAGGAAATAAAATCACAATTATTAAAAAAAGTGTTATAGTAATTATTTATAAATTAAATTTTAATTTCAAATAAATTATTAATAAATAAAAATACTTTTATGCTAATATAAATAAATTCCTATATGTTAAATACGAATTGCTATCTAGTACAATTGTATTTTTAACGACTTTTTTTAAACGAGAGAGTTTAGAGATTCTTTTAATTTCTGATCTAATTAGTTTTTATTTATCATAATTATTATGAATTACATTTTAATATTTTTAAAATAAAATATTAATAAATAAAAATAATAGTATGCTATAATATAAATTATTTATCATAAATCTAAAATATAATTTATATACTTAACAATATCTATTTATATAGTTTTTAATTATAACATATATTTATATATTCAAACATAATATTTATTTGTTACTTTTTTGATTTATTATCATGGAGTATTCTCCGTCAAACACGGGTTTCTCGAGAATTTGATAGACACCAAATAGGTAGATATTCCCTTTTAACTTGAATTTTTTTTTTTTGCATTCGTAAGAATTAGGATTTGAACACTAATCACTTGGTTGAATGACATGAATCCCTCACCACTTGTTCCAATTCAAGTTGATATAATAAATTTTAGTTATATATAATAAACTTTTATCATGTGCATTGCACATACTAAGATATTAGTTTAAAATAAATTTGTATTTAATTCTTTAAATTTAAAATTAATTTCTTAATCATTGTGATTTCAAAAAAATTTATTTGAACTCTTCAAGATCACTATAGTATAATTGAAAATGAAATATTGAAGTAATTATGATATTCACACTAACAAGAACATTATTAGATGGATTTTTTATGATATTTGAATAGGAAAACTAATAAGAAATTTTTAAAAAATTACATGAACTAAAAAAATTTTAAATTGTAGAGATTAAAAGTAAATTTACCTATATTTAAGAGACTAAATATATAATATTGAAGTTCTTAAATTTGTATTGTTTTAAAAATATTTTTAATATTTAATGAAACACTTGCTCCACAATCATTTATTAAATTAAGAAAATGTCTTTAAATTTATATTTTGCGAAAAAATAAATATTATAAAAGATGTTTTAAATTAGTTTTTATGAAAAAAATTGGATATAATTTGATTCTTATAATAAAATCGGAGGAAATAAATATTATATTGTTAATTTTTTTCTTAATAATTTTGTTAATAAATCATCATTGTATTAGCATATTACTTTTACCTTTTTAATCTATCTATTATAATAACTCGAATATAAAGTTATCCAATTCATCGTAGTAACCGAATATTGCTGAGTATGGAGGTAGACTTGACAATCAATCTATGATGTCAACAAAAGATAAAAATAAAAATGAACGGACAATGTGTTTAAATAATAAATTTGCAATGGTCAACTAATAATGGTATCCATGTTTATTAAATTATGAGTTAACTATATACCGCAAATATTGTCCTCCAAATGGAAAAGAATACATTCGAGAGGCAAATACGATGGATGCATCATGCATGCCACTCAAAAACTGCTTTCCTCAGTCGAAGGTCGCCTCAAGAAATATCGCAAGCTGTTAACAAGAACCTACCACATAACAACATCAATTTTAATCACTTCACTGTTCATAAACCAAATCTCAACAATCTTTTACATACGAAGCAATGTTGGTTTCTCATCCTTCAATAAAAAAATGTTAGAAGTAATAATTACCAGCTGGAGAGGCTTTATGAGGGATTTATCCTTGTAGTTCACATGAAACTTTGCCTTAGCCAACAGACCCTACGTATACGTTTTACAGCAAACCTAATTCAGATATATATATATATATATATATATATATCTCACCCCTTCTCTATCTCTCTAAATAATACTCGGAGTTTGAATGATTAGGACTGAAAATAAAATAAAATTTGTACACTTTGGCTATCATATACTGTACTATATATTTATTTACCTCTGTGTCAAATTCTCCGGATTCAACAGAAATGTTAATGTCAGTAATAATCTTTACAAGATCCACCAGTAATCCAGGCCGATCAGCTGTCTCCACATAGAGCAAACTGCCATCAGGAAAAAATAAAAAGGTTAACAACATCAACATCGTATACCATCTTAATTCAAAGGTGGTGTTGACTGTTGAGCATGCTAAGTACAAGGTTGTCTTGCGGCTAATTAAGACCTCCAATATTATTACATTAATTAATTAATGCGTGTTTCGGCTAAGCAAACTTCTTTTTGGATCAGCATAGATATAATGTTGAGGAAGAAGCTCATTTTGCATCACCTTCGATTTGGGCCGTCATCAGTGATGGTTATGTGGGTTGCTATCTCCACATCAACCTGAAATATTTTGAAAAGATGTAAACCAAATTCCACCAATATCTTTAATATAAAAAGAAGGTTATACCAAAGATGTTTATTAACTTGATGAAAATCAGAAAAGAATGAAAAAAGAATAATGTTTTACAACTAAAAGTTCAGCATATATGTAAGTATTGATCATCGTCACCTGCTCCTTTGGAGTCACGAGTCCAAAAGCTGCTCCTAGAGCTAATTGGGCGCTTGATTCCTTGATCACCAGTTTGAAACAAATAAACTCTAATTAAAAGCACAGAACTCCTTGATGCGTAATTTGCAACTACTTGATCATGCTCCAAGATAAGAGAATAATGAGAGTTGAGAAGCATACCGGGTGGTACTGAATCATATTATTTAAAATTGTCAAACGTATTGCCTCTAACAACTCTGGATCTTCCACTTTTCTACCAGAATCACTGCAAACGAAGCTCCACCATCATATTCAATGAATAATAATTCGTAGAAAATCTAGTTAAAAACAAAATTCAAAGGTGAAAACAAACCAAGCAAGTTTCATTACTAAATTTACAGAGGCCAATTCTGAAGTCCATTTGAAAGTAAATACTGGATGCAATTATAAGCCTCATGAGTCATGTCCAAATAAAATCTCACTTCAGAAGCCATTTCGAGGACTTCTGCTAAGAGAACAGTGCCTATTATTTTGCAATCTATGATATCTAAATCAGCAATAGTAATTTGAAATTGAATAATTCTAAATCCTTCAATATGATCTATGTTTTCGTTAATCTCCCCATCATAGGACAATACATATACATATAGCTTAACATATGATACTTACGCTTTTGTGATGCAAAGCTTGTTGTGTTTGCCAGAAGAATCCAGATAGACATTTGCCTTAACAACATTGAGCCCTAAGTTTTTTAACGCGTTCATCTGCAATCCATGTATAGTTAGTTTCTCAAAACTTGTTTTTATTAATGTACTTGTTATCAACAATGAAACAGTAAAGGGAAAAATAATAAACGGCTTAATTACAGTGTCAAGAAGAGCCCCTAGCCGATCACCAAAGGTTATCTCCACCACAGTTGCATCTGGATCAGAGTCTTGATCAATTATAACTACTGGCGTTGGAATGGTATCAGCCTCACCTTGATTTCCATCCTGTTCTCCACACACAAAGTTGAAGGCAAATGTTTCAGTGAGAGTCAAAACAAGCATGAATGAAGTGGTGCCTATTCACATGCAATATATGGCAACCATAATGGTTGGTTTTGCTAAATATATAGTAAATACCTCCACAGTACCAGTAACTGCTGTTGCTCGTGGGATGATTGTTATTCCTGAAGATGATAATCTGACAAAATGGTACATACAATTAACAGAGAATGGGCACATCATTGGGGTGCAGTCCTAGCTAGCATAGGTTACACTCACTTCTCAACTTTTATATCTCCACAAATTGAAGATATTTATTAATCAACCAATATTTTTCAGTACTCATCCTATTCCTGTCTATTAACTTAATGCAATCACACAGTGAGAGTTTGTACAGATGAAGTTTTTAGGAGTATTAATTGAATTAAGTGAAACATTACAACTGAATCTGACACGAGAAAAAAAAAGGACAATAATAAATTAATAATAGAAGAAGCTCGGGTTTCGCTACACACAATTAAAATTATAGTTGGCATACCTTGTTTTGTGAGTAATGAAACATAGTTTAGTAGCATCATAGATAGAAGAGGCCTTCAAGGCAGTGATTTTTTCGAAAGCTCTGGAGGTGTTATCGACACTCAAGTGAAGTCCAAGGCTGCAAGCAGCCACAGCCACAGCCATTTGAATTTGATGAATGTAATAATTGAGTGGAGGGGAGATAAGGGTGTTTGAGAAAGAGAGAAAACTTAAATGTGGAGAGAAGAAAAAATAAAACGAGACAGCATTGGTTAGCAGAAGAACATAACATAAGAGTGCATTGGTGTGTCTTTTTATCTCTCTGACATCCACTCATAATGTAGTTGGGCCTATATACATTTAGACAACAACGAAAACAGCGACGCGTTTGGTTGAGAATTTACATCTTTGGGAAGCTATGTAGGATGTAGAAGCAGATAAAAGCGGTCCCTCCTCACTTTAATGTTACATATCCACAAAAACCACCACCAAACTTATCGGCAACTTGTACAGATATTTTTATCAAAAATATAACACTAACTTTCAAAGCTTTTTGTTCAGACTTGAGAGGAAAATGAATCTGACATATCTTCCCATAATGAGAGAAAAATGTGAAGCATATCGCAATAAAAAAATATTAAGTAATAGGATTGCAATCATGTATTCATGTAGAATAATTGTTAGTAAAATTATTTTATTCAATAATTTCTTGCATATATGTATGTGTTTTACAAAAATTATATTACTTTAATAATTGATTATAATTAAAATTAGTATTTTCTTTGTTGATAAACGTGATTTATATAATATTTTAAAATTAATAATTAAAAACTACTATGTATTCACATGACAATACTTTTTTCAATGATACATATAATTAAGTTTGTTTAAGTTGTTGTATAAAGTTGTTTAAGGTATTAATTTATTGACCTTAAGTCCCTCTACCTTTAATTTATTATATTTATAATTGTTTTTACCAGAACATTTTTCTTATTATGGTAATCGAGCATCAATATTAAGAGAGTTTATAACATTTACACACTTCGCTCAACTTATTGAGATAAATTACTTGTTATTCTTACTAAAACATTATGCATTATTAAGATATATGTGAATTTTTGTGGAATCTCTCATATCTCTTTAATACTTAAGCCTATTTAAGTAAATATAATAATAATATTATTACATTAAATTTTACTATAGTATTTAAAATCATTTATTTGTTAATTTATATATAAAATATATACTCATTCACCTAAAGACTTGGTTTGTTAGTTTATTTTAAAATAACTTAAGCTTATTTTATTTTATTTTTTACGTTTTTTTGGGTACATGACTTAAGCTTATAAGTTATATGTCTACGTAAAAGGTTCAATTATAAAATAAAATTTTAAATTAGCTGTCACTCAATCGTACTTATGAAAAAGGTCATTATCGTGAAAGTCAAGTCTTGAATTCAAAAGCAAGAGAAATTCATAAGAAAAACTTGTGACCAATTTCCATCCTTTGACATCAATTGTGTCATCAACTTCAATGATGCAAATTCATCTGTACTTTTCAACATGAGATTTTACAGAGTTCGTTGTGCTGTTTGTTAATTTTCTTTTTGTTTGTTTGTGAATTTCTGATTTAACTTCATTGCCGTACCGAGTGTTTCACCAAAAGCAGGAAAAACTTTATTCCTTTGTGAATCCATGAATAAATTGGTTATGCATTCAGAAGCTTTTAGCTTGCGAAGGATTGGTTCATGTATTGGGCACAAGTACGGTGGTAATGTTAGATTGTTTCTAAAAATTGAAATCCCTATTCTCATCATTTCAAGTTATTAGATCATAAAACAAGTAACTTACATTGAGTGGTGGCTTGGTGTTGACTAGGTTGTATAAAGTACAAACAAGCAGACACTTTACATGTTGCATTTTTATTTACAAGTAGCCTTGAGAAACATAAATAGTAAGCCTCTTTTAAAATAAATCTGAATTACAAATACATGCTTGGGAAGAAGAAAATTTGGAACTTGAGAACGTAATTTGAAGAAGAAGAAAAAAAAAATGGACAAGTTGAGGGAGTGCTGGATGTTATTGATATCTATCCTTTTTGAATATTCCCCAAACCCTATTTTCTGTTGGTGATTTGGGGGTATTTGGACAGCTGCACTTGCAACTGAAACTCTTCTCTGCTGGTGATTCTGCTGTGCAAGAAAAGCATTCAACCCCAACGAACAATTGCCGAACCCCAAGTAAGACCGGCACCGAAGCCGGCAGTTGCAATAGTCTGACCTGGCTTAACCTTACCACTTCGAACAGCTTCATCTAAAGCCAAGGGAATGGATGCTGCACTTGTGTTACCATAATTAGCCAAATTTGATATCACTCGTTCTAAGGGAAGTTCTAACCGAGTGGCAACTGCATCAATAATCCTCTGGTTTGCCTGCACTTATGAAGTAAGACACCCTAAGTGCATGTAACCTTACCTTTCTCCAAGATATTATCATGTATGCTGTGCTGAACAATTCCCTAGATAACTATAATGATATTCTGTTTTCAATCATGGAATTGATCTTACCACTCAGCAAAGTGATAATATAAAACATGTGCAGCTAATGAATTGTTGGATATAAAGGATATGTTAGGTTTTCCACCTTTTTAATTTATATTTCACATTCTTTTACTAGAAATCAAACGAAAAGATGAACTTGATATCAGCTAGTTTGGCAAGTAAAGGATAAAAAGTTAAAAACAAAACAACCACCTTCTATCAACTAGGGTTAACAGATGAAGGAAATGGTTTGTTCATCAGTAATACTCCCAGCATAAATTCCGAATACATTATCGAATTATTGATAACATACTTGAATTTTATTTTATAGATCATTTCAGCGTACCTGATGGAGAAGTAACCAATCAATGTTAGATGCAGGAAGACCAGCCTTTTCAAGGGCAGATTCAATTGATTCTGGTACACACCGTACAGCAAAGCGAAAGACTTCTTTCCCATTCATTTGAATGCATGAATATGAAGATTGCTTGGGAGGAAAGCCAAACACCGAACCATTTGAATTCAATGCATTATTTGCCTCGTTTTCTTTAATGGCAGCACCCAAGTGCCTACACGAAGTATGAGTAGGTGCTTAATTACATACAGATTACAGGAAGAAGAAAACAGTTATTTTCAGTAATATAAGAAGCATAAACCTTCCACCACTGCCATCACTATGCAAATCAAAGCCAAATAAACCATCTTCCTCACTATTGCAGGCCTGCAAGTAATCATAGTACCAGAGCTAAGACATCAATTAACTATAAATGACTTCAACTCGTTGAATAAAAAAGCATCAGCTCATTGTCATTCTAAAGCAACAACAAAATCTTGAGAAATCCTATGGACATCAGACTTCATTTCAGAATATAAGTCATATTATTCACAATTTTAAACAGTTATTCCAGGATGGAAACAACAGTTTGCCAATCTTCATCCTCTTAAGTATTAAAAACATTCTCAAAACCTTGCCTTCATCTTAAACAAAGATAACACAAACATAACCAACAAAACCGATTTCAAATAGACATTTGCTACAAATGTTGGACAATGCCAGAAAGATATACAATTACCTGTACCAGTACAGCACCAGCACCATCCCCAAAAAGAATACAGGTCCCTCTGTCTGTCCAATCAACATATCGTGAAATAGCATCGGCCCCAATAACTAGAACATTATTAAATCCACCCCCTGCACTCACACAATAAAGGGCAATGATTTTCACCTATTTAGCAAGTATTAAGCCAACAAAAATAACCAATTCATACCCCTAATGTGACAAGCAGCTGATACTAAACCCAACACAAATCCACTACATGCAGCTGTAATGTCATAAGACAATGGATTTGTTTTGCAGCCAAGTTGTTTTTGAATCTACAAATTGTAAGGAAAATAAAATTATAGGAGAGGATACAGAAATGAACAGGAGATATAACTTGGAGAGGATAAGTGTATAACAATAAGCTCTAATCATTAGCAACAGGGCACTTGAAATCTCATAATTGCTCAAATACCCACTAATCATTTAAGTGCTAATATAAAAATAAAAAAGATTATTTGTCAAAGTTTAAACACAACTGCAGAATGTAAGAAATATTCTCAACTTGATAAATCCTGAACCCGTACCTGTGGAGCACTACCGAAAAGATCATCCGGCGTAGATGTGCACACCAATATCAGGTCAAGATCATCAGGGTCTACCTTTGCCATCTCAAGAGCTTTCCTAGATGCCTCTACTGCTAAACTTGCCAAGTTTTCTCTGCCTGAAAGCACAGCAGCAAGCAATCAAAAGCAGACACATCACTGTACTATCAAACTTACAAAAAGATTTTACACAAGTTTGGATATATACTTATTTGTAGGATTATAAACAAGTAGAGGGGTTTTTCATAAAGCAGGCAATGCGCCATAAATGGAAGCTTCACCCTCTTCAGATGCCTAGTTTTGGTTATACCCTTGCAAATTTATCCTTGAGAGGCTAAGCTAAGAGCAAGCTATGTGTGTTTGGATTAGAACTAGAAAGCTAAGTCCAGTTGAACTTATCTATCCAAACCAACATCAAAAGAAAAATAACAACCTCGTTGCTTTTGATTCAAGCGAGAATTCTTTGCAATTTATATTCCACAGAACATTAAAAAAAAAAGTTCGCCAAACATGTAGGTACTGAATTCAGGATCAACTAAATGAGGTTAAAAGATGCAAAAGTATAACCAAACATAGTATGTAACTATGTATTTATGGCAGTCTGATGATGAGAGATGGGACTAATGCCATTGACAATGACTAACCTGAAAGAACTCGGCGCGCACGAATCCCGGTGCGAACAGATATCCATTCGTCAGAAGTATCAACCATTTTTGAAAGGTCATCATTAGAAATTTGAAGAGCTGGCACAGCAGAGCCACATCCAACTAACTTGCACCCTTTGCTGACAAGCCTGTGAAGTATAGGCACTTCAATTATAGTATGAATGCTAGAAAGTACAAAACAAAGCAATGATGTTATATTTTATAACCAAGTAATGATGTTATATTTTATAACCTAGAATTAGAGCTTTTAAAAGTAATGATGGTAGAGACGGGAAAATTGTTGGGTATGATTAAAAATGAAAGCTTTAGCATGCATAGATGAAGCAAAGGAGAAAAAGTGACCTGGGTATGGGAGATTGGGGAGGGAAAACAGTGGAAGCATGTTTGTGAGCTCCTTCGATGGTTCCAAAGCAAACAACTTTGGCAGTGAGAGGGCGAACCCTGACTCTGAAGTGGGGAACCGAAGGGGTGAAGAACCCAGATGCATTCGCCATTTACAACAACAATCAAGTAATGGAAATGTGTTATGGTTTTTTGTATGAAATGGTAGAGAAGAATGAAGAAGTGAATGCAGTGCAGAGACAAAGAAGTGAAAGAGACTGTTTGGTTCAACCAGAGGAAGGAGGTACAGATTTAAATCAAAGGAAAAGTTAGAAATTCTTTTAATGGGTTTTAAGGGAAAAGATATCAATTTTTAAATATTAATTTACTCTTATAAGTTTAATTGATATTTTAAACGAATATATTTTAAATATCTTTTTTCCTTTGAAGTGCTTTTTTTTTTTTTTGGTAAAGTATGAAAACTAAAACAAACAGACAAGTTCAAGACATAGAGTTTCTTCCTGACGGTAGCAGGATAAAGTCTGGAGGACTCCTCCAAAATACATTGAAACCTAGGTTCCGTACACCCCAATTAGCAAGCGTATGTGCTACTGAATTTATCTCACGAGGGATATGACTTACGTACACTACCTAGTCCGAGCTAACATTCGCTTAACACGACGAATGACATCATAGTGTTTATGCAGGTAGTCCCTATGCGCTGACCGATCTTGAAGCAGCGTAACAGCTCTCAGGCAATCACATTCGCAACTCACCTTCCTAAACCCACCTTCCCAACAAAGCAATAAGCCCTCCTCCAAGGCCAACAGCTCAGCACGTAATGCATCCCCATATGAAGCCCCACGCAAAAACCCCCCCGCCACATACCGGCCCAATCACGAATTGCGCCACCCATCCCCATAGCAGCAGTCTCACTCAACCAACTCCCGTCCGTGTTTAACTTGACCCATGGATGCTCCGGAGGCCTCCATAATGCTTGCTCCACCCATAAACGCCTCTTAGCATAATACTATGTGAGAACTAAAATTAAAAAATAAAAATATATTATTTATATTTTCTTTTCCTCTCATCCTAATTACAAAAATTTATAAAAACTTCTTCTTATATCTTCTTTATTTTATTTTTTGGAAAAATTGTAGTGGTCTTTCTTGAAGTCTTTTTAAATGATACACTTTTTTTTTTAGTTTTTAAATGAATATTAAACTCATATATTGTCCCTTATATAAAATAACATAATTTTGTCCATAAATATGATTTATGCATTATTTCAAAATTGACAATTAAAAATTATTTTATGTTTATAGGACTTTTACTAATCAAATATTATTTTAATATGTTTTGTACATTGTTAAGAGAGAAAATAAATTATTAATACAAGTGTCAACAATTAAATGAGATTTAATCTCGTAGTCAATTTTAACTTCCAAATTATATTATAAGTATCATATGTGTTATGATTTAAAAAAATATATCAATTTCAATAAATAATTACAAAGAACGGACTAAAAAGTCATTATTTTTAAAATTTAAAAATAACGAAATTTTTATAAAAGCAAAACATTGTACATAATTAATAAATTAAGGATAAACATGATTAATAAAATATGAATTGAATTTTTATTTATCTTAATAATTTTATTTTAAAAAAGATAAGTGATTTTTAAAAATTAAAAGAAAAATATATACATTTAAATAAACTTCAAAACGATAAGTACAATTTTTCCTTATTTTTTTCTAACCAAATCTTTCTCTACTTTTGAATATATAAAGAATTATATTTGTTAGTCTTAAATATAAGAAAATTATAATTAACTTTACTTTATTTAATATTATAACCTCTAAAATATCCATTCATTTGATTAAAATTATATTTTTAATGATATTTTTATTTCTAATATTAATAAAAAAATGTAATGTAGAAAATTAAATTATTATTTTTAAATGAGATTAGTATACTTAAATAATATTAACTAAATTTTTTAGTTTGCGCTAATTATATATATATATATATATATATATATATATATATATATATATATTTATATTTAGATTAAATGAGT